CCAAACTGCAACCGAGGTATGTGCCCGTAGTGGGAACCGAACCCGGGTCTCTCCAGACCTCAGGCTGATGCTCTAACCGCTGAGCAAAACCGGCCAGGGCAGGAGTTGTCTTTTTCTTGAAAGAATAAAACATGAAATGTCAATGTTATTATAAAATAATAAATGAACACTATATATTTGTTTGACCCAATAAGTAGCTTCTTTAAAAAGATAATTATTGTCCTATGTTAGAATGAAGTTTTGATATTTCTTTATAACATTCAATAGCCATAATAAGGCATCCATGGGCTGAAAAGTTTAGTGGTGAGGGTGAGTTAGAAGGGGTACATGCAAATAAAGATCAAGATTGATTTCAAAGTACCAGGTACTTGAAAGTAAGGCTAAGGAGTTCAATGTGATTATGCAGAAGAATGGTGATGCTAGAGAGCTTTGAGCATGCACTTTGCAAAGAAAGATGGTGTTTTGAAAGATCAATCTGGTGCTACTACAATGGATGGTTGGGAAGAATGAAGATAAAGGTGTGGGAGACATGAATCTAGAAGTAGAGAGACCAATTTAAGGTTATTATAGGAATTCATGCAGGATATGAGACAACAAAGATTCATGGAGAGTCAAAGAGAGATAATATATTTTTCCTTGTTAAAAAAGTATCTGGTCCAAGGCAGAGTAAGTTCTTAAAAGAATATTAATTTTGCCCTGGCCGGTTTGGCTCAGCAGTTGGAACATCGGCCTGAGGACCAGAGAGTCCCAGGTTCAGTTCCCACTAGGGGCAGGTACCAAAAAAATAAATAAATAAATAATAATAATAATAATATTAATTTCCTCCCTGTATCTTTGACCACATCTCCAATTATTGGGCCAGTGAGACACAAATTAAATACTTCTTTAAGACTGGAGTAAGACAAAAAAAAAAATTAAATCTCTACCAGTATGTGCTGTGTCCAAGGTTTGATATGAGACAAGCAGTTAACATTCTTGAAACATGCTTTAGTAAGGTATCCCTGAGACAATTTCCTTTGTGAACTGTGTACCTCCTGAAGTAAATGTTACTTCATGATATCATTTTCTTTATTTGTTTTTCAGACTCAATCATACATTAACTGAAGTTATAGTCTTTAGGTATAAAGCTCAGTAAGGCAACTTGTTTTTATTACAGAAATTTGAATTTAAGTACCAATGCTAAATTTGAAATATAAGTTTATGCTTAGCCATTGGCTATGTGATTTAAAAGGTTTGTGGGCTAATTTTATCCAGGCAATCAAGTCTCTTATTGTCTGGCAACACTCATTAAAAGTCCGTAAGAGCAGAAACTTTACAATTTATATTCAATATTATTTGGTATTAGTTTCATGTGTACAGCATAGTTATTAGAAAAGGCTATAGTAATCAAATCAGTATGGCACTGGCATAAAACAGACATATAGATCAATGGAACAGAATAGAGAGCCCAGAAATAAACCCATGCCTTTATAGTCAATTAATATTTGACAAATAATGCAAGAACATACAATGGGATAAAGACAGTCTATTTAATAAATTATGATAGGAAAATTGGACAGATTCATGTAAAAAAATGAAACTGGCCACCTTCTTACACCATATACAAGAATAAATTCAAAATGAATTAAATATTTAAAATGGATTAAAGACTAGAAACCATAAAACTCTTAGAAGAAAAAACATAGGCAGTAAAATCTCAAACATTTCTCTTAGTCATATTTTTCTGATATATGTTCTTGGGCAAGGGCTACAAAAGAAAAAATAAATTGGACTAAATAAAACTAGAATGTTTTTGTACCGCAAAGTAATCCATCAACAAAATGAAAAGACAACCCACTAAATGGGAAAACATATTCATCAAGAATACATTTGATAAGGGGTTAATATCCAAAATTTATAAAGAACTCATACAACTCAACACCAAAAACAAACAATCCAATTAAAAAATGGGCAAAGGACCTGAATAGACATTTCTCTAAAGAGAACATACAGATGGCCATATGAAAGCATGCTCAACATCACTAATCAGCAGAGAGGTGTAAATTAGAACCACAATTAACTCTCACCTCATACCTGTCAGAATGGCTACCATCAATGAATCAACAAGCAACAAGTGTTTGTGAGGATGTGGAGAAAAGGGAATCCTCATGCATTGTTAGTGGGAATGCAGATTGGTGATGCCACAGTAGAAAATTGTTATTTGAATTTTTAAAGAATAAATTATTTTTACAATCAGAAACAAAAAAGATTTGAATATTTTATTAGAATTTAATTAGCTTCTCAAGGGTTATCAGTTCTAAGGAGAAATAAAATTCATTGTCATTAATGAGTTTTTTCAGTCCTGAACACAAAATATCTATATTACTGAGTAAAACAAAATAAGTGCCAGAAATATAATTAAGGACTCTCTGAACAAATCTGGAGTTAAAAATAAGGAGTCAACTCTTACTATCCCAGTCACCAATGTTGAAGGGGTAAAATAATCATGAAGTTAGCAGAATGCACACTGTCAATCCACAGAGTTTGTAAGTAGAAAACTGGGGAAGTGCCATTATGAAACAATCAAATATATTGGTACAAATTTATTAATAAAAATAGGTGAACATTAGTACCGTCTATATAAAGGAGAAATAAAACAATTGTAGGTGCAGATAATTGAAGGCACATATGACATCTTAGAGAAGGAGCAAAAACTTTGGTGAGAATGATTCAAACTCTCTGAGGTGAATACAGTTGTTCAACATATGCTTCACAGTTAGATGTGGTTTGTCTTCTTCCATAAGGTGCCTAATCTCATTTCTTATATACTTCAAGAACTTCAATCCTTCAATCTCTCTCTCTCTCTCTCTCTCCCTTCCCCTTTCTCCGAGCAATGGGGAATAGTGATGGATCATGTTCAATGATTAGATGAGGATGTCAGTTTCACATAATTTTTGCCCAACTGCCTTCAAAATACTATATAGCAAGGGAATATGGAAGGATGATATAGTCACTATTTAATGGATGAAGAAATTTTTAATCATTTCAGTCTCTTTATTTCCTAGGTCGCCTCTTGGTTGCAGATATTAACAGCACTACATGGATGTGTGTGTTTGTTTGTGTGTTTTTTAAATTCAGATTTCAATAATCAGAGCTAACTGGATGACCCCAGTTAACACCTATACTCTGGTCACACATAAAACTTATTCAAAATGCTACTGCTAATGATATTAACGACTTATTGATCTAATATTTTCCCAGGCTGTTTGACAGGTCATGTGTTTCTAATTAAGTTTTCATTGATTCTTGAGGAACAGCATTAAAATAAATAAAGATTAGATTTGAAAGCTCTGCACACAACACACACATTTAAATGTAAATATACAACAAATTATTTTAAAGACATTTTAAGGTCAATTTTCAGCATTTTGGACACTTCTACTCATAAAATATCCAAGGATTCCTTTTAAAGTCACTTACGTGCTAGCAGTTCAAAACTGTGTTGTTTTTTAATTTTTTCATCTAGAAGATTTATCAGATGGCTAGATGCAGAACATAATTTTAAAATGTATCTAGCAGTATAATATAGATAAGAGCTTAGACTCTAAAATGAGTTGCCCTATGTTCAAAGTCCAGACCCACCATTTACTCATTATTTAACTTTGGGAAGTTTCTCAACCACTCTGTGCCTGTGTTTCACTTCCTCACCTATAAACCCTCATAAAGTTGTAGGGATGTCAGAAAACCCATGTAAAGCTTCTCTCATAGTATCTAATTACAGTAAGTGACCAGTGGTAAATCCCTATATTTGGTTTACCCAGCACATAAAAGCTGACTAGCCAGCTTGATGATATTCACCTCCTCTTCAAAATAGGAGTGGTGCCCGGCCACTGTGGCTCAGTGGATTGAGCATCGTCTCATGGACTGAGAGGTCCCGGTTTGATTCCTGGGTTTTGGGCAGGAGGCAGCCGATTGATGTTTCTCTCTTCTTCTTTCCGCCTTCTCTAAAAATTAATGAAACTATTCTTTTAAAATTAACAACAACAACAAAATGGGGGTGGTAAGCCAGATTCAATAATGTATATGCACACTAGAAAGACACCCCTTTCTGAAGACACCCTCAGTGGGTACTCTAGTGTTAAGTGATGCTGAAGTATCTTGCAAGGCAAGATCCTGGTGGGTAAGTAGGCATTATGATTGTAATTTCAAGTAGTAATAAATATTAGTGCTGAGCACATTTAAATCTCATATCAGGTAAGGCACCCCTCAGGACTTGCTGAACCCTTAACAACTAGATATTTAAAAAGTAATCAAACTCAGTGTTTCCTAGGGCACAAATAAATTCGAAATACATTCTTTTGTAAGAAATCCAAAAGAATAAATCTCAATGCTAAAATGCAAAGCATTTGTGAAATTGTTACTTTTTTTTTTTTACCAATATCCATGTATAAACAGACATTCAATCATTTAGACAAAACAAATCTACTTCAACGTAAGTTAGAAAGCCATACTAGACTTAGAGCAAGATAGACAGGTCCATAATTTAGAGAGAGTTGCCAGAAGGAGACCCCATAGCAATGTCCCTTAACTGCGTCCCTTAACTGCAATTATCAGCTGGGTTTTACAAAGAATGCAAACTTATCTGTGAATTAGTTTGTCCCTAGGCTAACACCCTATTTTGGTCTGGGACTCTGGAATGATAATCGTTTCTAGTCTCGCCTTTGCTAAACTTCAAAAGAACCAGGTCAAAGCCACTTCTATGTCATATTTGTGACTTTTTGTTCTCTAATAACTTTTGGCATGGGCACGTCTTTGTCTGCCTATTTATAGTTAAAGTGAATTTCCAAGCCCGTGGACTTGGAAGCTCTGGCTTCAGCCCTAAAATTCCACATTTCTGCTCTTTCCAGATTCCCTTAACCAGTGGGCAGCCCTGTAACTATCTCCAGGGCAATGAAGGGCCTCTCCTGGCAGGTAAACCTGTCTGGTGAATCCGCCCATCAGAGGCGTGTCAGCACCCATTTCCTGGAGCAATCTCACAGGGTGGTTCCACTTTCCATTCAGGTTCAAATACTTTGCTGCCTCCTCTACAGCTGCCAGACTTGCTCCTGCTGCTGCTCAGGTAACTCATTTCCCCCTGGCACCACTATAGACAGAGGTGGTTGATAAAAGGCTCTTACGTGTGCCTGCCTGTCTACCTTCCTATCCCTTCGGTTCATGATCTTCCTCTGTCTTTCTCTCTCTGTTCCTTAGGGAGAGCATCTGGAGTGTACCTTACTGACCACCGAGAAGATGATGAGTTCAAGCTATTGGAATGAGATGAGCAGCAGCAGCAGCTGTGGGACTCAGCAGCTCCCAGAGGTGCTGCCGTGCCAGCCTCAGCATTACCACTGCTACCATCAGTCGAGTCAAGCCCAGCAGCCTCCAGAAAAAAATGTAGTGTATGAACGAGTGAGGACCTACAGTGGACCCATGAATAAGGTGGTTCAGGCCTTGGATCCCATCGGCTCACGAGAAGTGCTCTCCCCTCTCAAAACATCCTCCTCCTACCAAAATTTGGTTTGGAGCGACCGTTCCCAGGTACCACAAAGACAGCTATGTCAGGCTAGTAGAGAGGGGAAATTTGGAACCTTATTTCTTTTCTTTCTGTGTCTCTGTCTGTTATAAAGGATGTTATCTCTCAGTGGAATGCAGCTACATATTCAATGTACATTAATCGAAATGGCATCTGTTGGCTGTTCTTTCATTTGCTAGTGTCTGTGGTTGTTACCAGTTTCAATGATTTTCATAATCTAACTAGAGCATAGGATGGCTCATTTTTTGTTAAATGTGATTGAAATATCTGATCTGAGGTAGTCGTTTGCTCCTACCACAAAGCAATCCTCAACTTGAATACAATAATTTTTTATAGAATACGTTTTCACTGATTCACTTCATATCAGAAATAAACAGATTTTTAAAAATCAAATAAGATGGTTCAGGGACAATGGCATGTGACGAGCAAATAATTGCATTCAGCAAATAGTATGCTATTCTAAGATAAATGACAGGCACAGATCCCTGTTCGAATTGCCGTATGTGTTTCATATTCTGGAAATGACACATGATTCTTGAAGCACTAAGGGGAATAATTTATGAACATTGGTAAAAGAGTAGATAAAGGATTAAAGAAGGCAAGATGTAACCAACTGCTTATATGAAAGCTAAAAGGGGTAGAACTCTAAGGCACCCTTTAAAATTAAATAAATTCGTTTGTAACGGGGTTACTTCAGCATCAGTATCTGAGCTAATAATCCTGCCAATAAATTTAAAAGAACATTGCAAGACTATATAAAATTAACAACCTTATGTTTTCATTTTTGACTCTTTTTACATTAAATTTTTATGTCTTTAAACTTTCAGAAATATTCTGTACAAATTGAAATTATGTTTTCAAGATACAGTTTGTACTGTAAAGAGCTCAAAAAAAAAGAAAAAAAGAATACAATCATTGGGATATTATCCCACGTTGCATTACCATACTATCTGGGATAATATGAATGATTTTCCCCCAAACCACAATTTAAAGTAGGATATAAAACAACGTTTCTGAAGTATATAATAAAACTATTTTTAAGGTATTAAAAATACCTAGATAACCCAACAACTACAAAGACCTTACTCTTTTCTTTCACACCAGCTTAATTTAAGGAAAAAATATGATGAAAAATCTATGAGTTAGTGTTAGTAATTTCTTATTTGAGAAAAACTCCACCTATACTGAAGTCAAAGGGAAGAAAAATATAAAGGTTAAAAATACTAGTTTGTATAAGTGATAATGATGCAGATGTACATTCCAATATTCTATATTAGATGCTGATGACCAATGTGTTTCTTAGTAGCCCCAAAACAATGAGGTCAAAGACAACAGTTCCATTATCATAAGAATGCTAAACCACCATACCTGTCATTGTTATTTAACCAATTAACCTCTTCTTGTCAACTTCCTGGAAAAAGCAAGATGAATAGATAAAAAACTGAAATATGGTAAATCATAAATACTGACTACAGAACAAGTTTTAGGATCATATTTTATTGTATGTTCCTTAGTTCAACTTACTTTTTTAATAATCCCAGGACCAAGCTGGCTGGGCTTTTTACAAGACTTTCCTTCTTTCCACTTGATATTTGTTTGAGTGATCCTTATAAGACTATTTTCACCCGGATATGTAGTTTTCCATAGAGGGCTCTATAAAATTATAGGGACCGAAAATGTGGCCACAGAAACCAGGATGAGAGATTGGAATGGATAGTGTTGTGAAGTCTGAAGTTATTTGTAATTGAAAAGAAAGAAAACTAAGGGCTGGGTGAAAATGATTGAGGTGAGATTTAGATTTGTGATAAAGTAAAAGAATAAGTAGCTTCATTCCCTTAGTGAAACAAGAAGAGAGAAAAATTGACCGTAACATTTCAAATTGAGTTAGATATCAAAGGGCACTCACAAATCCACTAAAAGACAATTTGTCAAAAATCTTTTAGTTAGCTGCAACAAAGAATATGACTAGGGCCAGCCAGTGTGGCTCAGTGGATTAAGTGTGGTCCCATGGACTGAGAAGTCCTGGTTTGATTCCTGGTCAGGGCACACGCCCGGGTTGCAGGCTCAATCCCCAGTAGGGAGCGTGCAGGAGGCTGGCAATCGATGTTTCTCTTTCACATCAATGTTTCTCTCTCTCTAAAAAAAAAAAAAAAAAACTCAATAAAACAGACTTTAAAAAAAGAATATGACTAGAAAACTCTATTTTCTTTTATTTTCTCTCTGTTTATTGGTAGGAAGGCATTGTATAAAGTAGGACCTAGATTTAATCTGAAATTACCTTCATGCTAACAAAATAGTTAAGATGAGACTGGGTAAGATGTGACAGCTTTGGTATGCACCATGCCAAGCACAAACAAGCAGAACATATTATTCAAAATTATTTTTTTGTTCATCATATGTTTTAATAACGTTTCTCTGTAATATGCTATGTTTCAGAGACATTTTGAGTTGGTATGTGGCAATTATTCTGATGCCAGAATTTATGACCTAGGAAGATGGTTGATCATCACAAATTCAATTAAACTTTTACTTTAACTGTTTTTAGTATTTTGGTGTTTGGATGACATTCAGAGAATTCATATGATTTTAAAAATATATAATTGCCAGTAGTAAAATATGTTCCTTTTGAGAAACCGAAATTGATGCTACTCTGCTTTGCTTCCTGAATCTTAATTTTAGCTTATGTATTTAATTTTAGATTTAACCAAATGCATTTTGCAGCACTTTAGTATTTTCTATATGTGGCTTTTTAGTATATGTTTTTTCTCTATTGCCTTGTGTACTAAAATGATGTTCATAACCATAAACATTTTCAATTTTTTCAGATATAATGTTGATTTCTTTCTTGTCTATAATCTATTAGATATATTTTATGATTCTCTTGGTTATTATTTTGTCTGATTGATAGAGTGTTCCTCAGAGAAATTTTAATGTAGAAAACAGTTGCTGGTGAAATATTCTAAGTTGATAGTAGAATTAAAATTACTAAGTTTATTCGTATAAACAGGTAAAATCATACACAGGTGTAATCAAGGTCATAGATGCATTTTAGGACTGACAGTGGTACTGTGAATAAATGTAGTCCTAGAAATTACATAAAACAAAAGGAATTAAAAAAAACCTTCACAGTTCAACCTTTTTAAAAGGTTCAATATTAAACTACTGTCATAACTCAAAATTGCATACTGTCTTAAATCAACAGCATTGATGTTAATTACTCACTGGACATGAATTTTTCTATTCCATTAATTTAGCTTTTCATGAAGTTTAAGTTATTTTTCATGTATTCAGAGGAGCTGTGTGGTGTGAGAGAGAAATAGATGAAAATAAACTTTTAATACCAGTTATTCATTGAATAGATATTTATTAAATGCCTATTATATAGGAAGAACTATGATTATCCAGATAAATACCGTAAGGTTATCTAGGGAGAGGCCACACCAAGGAGATATACAGGACCTAGTCTATATAAATTACATTTTAAAATATTACTTTGTGCTTTGGCTATCGACGATTTTATTGAATACACTAAGTTTTGGTGAAAGAAGGAACCTCTTAATGTATGTGTTATATGGGTTACCATTTTTTAGAATTTGAAACTTGGAAACAAATTCAACTCTAAAGAGCCACCCAAGGGAGAATGGGTGTTTACAAATGGTCTAGGCTCTTAGTAATTATTCAGCTGGGCTTATCTTTGTTACATTATTTTTTTTTCCTTTTTCTTTTGTTACAAAAATTGTGGATAGCTCCCTTACTGACCCAGGATTTCTATACACTATCAGAAAATGTTCCTGTTCTGTGGGGATGGATGTGGTGCTTTGATAAATTGTTGTTCAAAGGTGTGGTCACTGAAGTGAATGATTGTTCAGGGAAGTAGGTTGCCTGAAAAAGGAATGAGGTCATAGGATAAAGAGGCGCACATTTCCAGCTTTGGTCATTCCTTTTGTGCTCACAATTAAATGAAGCTATAGAAATTGTTGAGTGCATCTAATTGCTGGGTGAAATTGTCCATGCCAATTGTCTTTGTCTTTGTTTAAGGGAGGTCTGATAAATTTCTGGGCCTATTTTCAGTCAGTGGCACTCACACGCAAGCTGTTGTATGTGTGTGCATGTGCACAGCGAGGTGGCGAGGTGGGGGGCTTGGGGCAAGGAGAAGGGGGATGAACTTGTCCTTGGACTGTCTTGATCCAAATTTCTTTTCTTGACAATTCATGGTAAAACATCTGGGAGATATGCCATGCTTTTAAACCCCATTTAAAAGTGAAAACCCTTGTGCCCTATTGTACATGTCCATGATTTCTGTCTTTTTTTTTTTTCTTTTATCTTTTTTGCTCAAGTCCTCCACCCTACACCCCTTCCCCAGGCTGTGTGCCTGCTTTCTTTCTATGAGTCTGTCCCTATTTTGCTTGGTAGTTCAGCAAATAGTGTTGGAAAAATTTTAATTTAATTTAATTAAAAAAAAAATCCTTTCTAAACTAGTGTATTTGAGGTAACTTTTTCTTCATACCAGCAGCTATTTTAATACTGATCCTTTTTTTACTTCCAGTGGAGAATATACACGTCTCATTTTTAAAAGAAAGAAAGCACACACTGCAAAGAGACTATATGCTTGATTTTCTTTCTCAGTTTCCTGTAGGAAAAGAAGAGGAATTGTCCTGAAATAAGTCTCTTAAGTGAGAATTACTCTTGGAGGAATGGAATAAGGGGAAGTAGTTTCATTACTAGTACATTCTAGTATTTTCTATTGCTTTCTTTACATGAGAACAGGATCACAGACTTTAATTAAGGAAGTGTTTATTTCATCTACAGAGAGCTCATTATATTGTATATGTTTCTTCCTGTACAAAGTTCAGAACAACATCTCAAAAATAACCTAAGGCAGGTGTTTAACCACGTCACTGGCTTTGAAAGGTTCTAACAAAAGCATCTTCCATACTATTCAGAGAATTTATTCAAATGGAAGTTTGCCTTGGCAAATTTTGTCAGCATAAATGTCAGATGGTTT